AATCTTTGCTCTATTTACAATTTTGAGAGGTGAGAATGAGAGCTTCATTTGTGTAAACGTGTGTAAAAAGAGTGGCCTAAAATTTTCTTGAGTGTATACACGTGAGAGAGTGTTGTGAGGTCCTTTGTATTTCCATAACTTATTCTTTGCAGCAAAGTTTCACAAATAGATTCGAGGACGAATCCTCTTGAAGAAGTGGAGAATGATATGAACCAAGAGACATCAATCATACAATATGCTTCAATGAAGATGTGGAGAAAAGGTTATCAAAATNAAGAAAAAATCTATATAATTTAAAATCTGGCTGCTCTGATACCAATGTGTCACAACCCAAATTTCAAATTTCAAGGGTTCAAAACTCAAATAGAAACTAAAATTGAGAATGAAAACAAATAAAAATAAAAGTAAATTAATATAAAATAAGAAAATGGTGTAAAATTAAAATGAGATTGAGAAAACAATACAACATTAAATATAAAATTAAATTAAATTATAAGACGGTGTTGTTCAAATTTATCCAAACACAAAAAAAAAAGTGTTTGGGATACAATTACAAAAAGACTCAAACACAAAGACAGACTAATGCTACATAACAACCCCATCTGTGAGTGCACAACCTTTGAAGGCTCCGTCATCTCAACGGTAAGTTCTATTACGAACCCATCCAAAATAATCACACTTGTGACCGCATCTCCTGACTTTAAACTGCTAGTCTAAACATGGTTTCGTCATGAAAGCTTTAGAGATAAATATATCTTTACAAAAATATTTTTCTCTTCATTTATAATTAGTCATAAAAAGAAATAATTAGGTACAAATTTGGTCTAGAATTCAAAACTTTCAAATCTTACTATTCCTTGACCATTTTCAAATCGAGATTCTTGAACTCCTAGTACCTTAAATAAAGTTGGTATCCTCTAATAAAACAGGAATTTCTCTTAAGATCATTAGATTCTTATAGACTCCAGGCTCAATATCAATAATACAATTATGTTTTATCTTGAACACGCCAAACATGAAACTAAAGTGCGTTCAATTTAACTCCATTTTATTGCCATCTTGAATGATGTGTAGGGTATATTCTTGATTTAAAAGTTCTTGTGACATGACAATTCATATTAGTTAAGCTTTTTGCAAAATCACAAGTTAAAAGACAACAACGATGAACCTAGGTCTATTAGTCAATTCAAAGACAATTTCTTTCTCCATCTTATCGATAATAATAGCTCAACTAAATCCATATTATGCAAAGAAACAAGTTTACGACTCATAAAAATAACTACCTAAATTATGTCCTAATAATTTGAAAACACAAGTTGTAGTTGATAATTACACAAAAATTTCCCTAAATCCATGAATTCCTGTCCAATTAGTCAATCCTAAAGATTGTAACTAGCATATAATAATTGAAGCTCCACATGAAGCAATTTAAAGTTCCCCTACATAACTAAAGTTCATCTCATCTTTAATGAAGCATGAATTGCACTGAAGTTCATGAAATGCTTATAGACTCAAACTCTGAGTACTATTAATGCAATTATGTTTCATATGAGTTTGTCATAAATGAAACTAAGGTGCATTCAATAAAACTTTATTTTCTTGTCATACGAGGCAAAATAGAAAAATTAAATCAAACAAACTGATGAACTGAACCGAATCAATCCAACCAAAATTGATTAGTTTGTTTCTTTTGTTGGGTTGTTGGTTTATTTGATAACCCTGGTATATTATAACAATTCAACTTTTTGTTTTATAGCCCTCCAACTACTAAGAGAAAAATATATTTGAGTAGAAGCTAAAAATATTGGGTGTTCAAGAAAAGGCATTTGGTTTAGTGGTATGATTCTCACTGGGGTGCAAGAGGTTTTGAGTTCAATTCTTGAAATGCCCCTATGTCTAAATCTCTTCTTATCTAAGGACTTCATATTCGACATCTTATACTTACCACCATGCTCTTAATACTCATAGTCTTTCTTAACATCCCATCCCAAGGCTTCATACACTTGTTTCAAGTGGTATAACAAGGGTATTTGGTCTAGTGGTATGAAAGTTCGATTCTCAAAATGCCCCTTCAAGAGATTGTAGTATGAAAGACATTTTACCAAGTAAATAAATACATTAAAATAACACAAGTGACACATATGTAAACTATGTTATTAATATTTTATTTCTATTACATCTTTCCTTATTTATGAAATAATGAGCGGAGATATTTTTCATTTTCCCAATTACTGATGACGAGAGGTTTAGGATTTTTTAATGTAAAAATCGTGGGGATGTAGCTCAGATGGTAGAGCGCTCGCTTCCGATGTGGAAAGTACGGAGATCGGATACCTTGCATCTCCAAATGAATCGATCACTAAACTTATGAAATAATGAAC